TTTAAATACATTTCGGATTTATTAAAACCCATAGACGGGCATGGTTTATCTTGTCTTTGGTTATAAATTTTTTATGCTATGGTGAAGGATAATGGTGACAGTAGCGTGGCTGGAACAACACACAAATATATCAGCTTACTTTGTAGTGAAAACTTTCCACAATGTTTTGGTCCGACCTGGATTATTAATAACTAAAATGATAATGGTTTAGGATGGAGTGAAACATCGTCTGAAGTTTCCTCTCTGAATACGTTTTGGCGTTAGAGAAGAACAAGCAGGATGCCACATGCATGTTATAGAGAACAACAAGCAGGAGGCCACATGCATGTTATAGAGAACAACAAGCAGGAGGCCACATGCATGTTATAGAGAAGAACAAGCAGGAGGCCACATGCATGTTATAGAGAACAACAAGCAGGAGGCCACATGCATGTTACAGAGAAGCAGGAGCAGGAGGCCACATGCATGTTACAGAGAAGAACAAGCAGGAGGCCACATGCATGTTACAGAGAAGCAGGAGCAGGAGGCCACATGCATGACACAGTGTGGTTTAGTGCTGCTGAGTTCCTCACTGAAGTGAATGATATCGCTCTCTAAGTCTTTCTGCTCCACTTAAAAACAAATTTCTGGCGTTGTGTTCAAGAGCTTCTGCATATTTCTACGCGCTGAGAAGTGTTACCCTGACTCAGCTCGTTCCAAAGATTAGGCCTTAGAATATATTATAATATATTTACTGGTGTTTATTGTATTTAATTCTAAGCATTATATATATATATATTTTTATGTGTGTGTGTACCCACTTAATTGTGGTTGCAGGGGTCGATTCACTGCTCCTGGCCCCGTGTGTGTGTGTGTGTGTGTGTGTGTGTGTGTGTGTGTGTGTATGTGTGTGTGCAAAAACAACCACAATGAAAAAATAGTGAAATTCCAAGCCCTTTCGTGATTTTTCACATTATTAAGGATAACGTGAAAAGCGTTGCACTCCAACACTTACCAACACCAGCTGTGCACACAGCAGCAAGGCTGTGTACAACGAGCCTACAGGAAGAAACATGCTACAACGTAAGACTTCATTGTAAAAAACTATTGCTGAACGAAAGTTTTATTTAATTATTGTAAATAATGGCTTTACGCTGCTTAGCGTTACGTATTCAAGGCTGCAGACGTCTCTCCTGTGATCAGAACTCTGTTGCAATAACAGACCTTGCAACGGGTTGAAAACGGGTGGCGATGGCATCATAGCTGACCCCGGGATCTCGTACCTACACATACAACTTAGTCTGTGAAAACTGGCATCATCTACACAGACAACATTATAGCCAATACTCTTCAAGTCATGGGAAACTAATGAACTCTTTTGTGTACACCTAACATCTCTACATACAGCTTTTCCTAGTAAACAAAACCTCTAGTTGTATCTCTTATGAATGACTGGTTGCAGTCTATGCAAGAAATTTACATGTATCTTACCCATAAAAGGTAGTTACTGTTTGGAAAACACTGCATAATATAATTACAGTTTATGTTACGGTAATTTGGTTCGGAATTCTGTGATTGCGGATTACATTTTGTGACTGTGGATTACATTTTGTGATTGTGGATTACATTCTGTAATTGTGGATTACATTTTGCGATTGTGGATTACATTTTGTGACTGTGGATTACATTTTGTGACTGTGGATTACATTTTGTGATTGTGGATTACATTCTGTAATTGTGGATTACATTTTGCGATTGTGGATTACATTTTGTGACTGTGGATTACATTTTGCGATTGTGGATTACATTTTGTGACTGTGGATTACATTTTGTGATTGTGGATTACATTTTGTGATTGTGGATTACATTTTGCGATTGTACATTTCATTTTTCACGTTCATGCACTTGTTTATTCTTGTGGAATGAAATTTAAGATTAATAAGAATTTTGAGTATTATTTTCCAGCATGGAGTAAGTCCTAAATACATTATGTCTCCTTTCTTAAGCATGTTTTCACTGAAAGTAACTGTATTATCAATTACATTATCTGTGTCTTGAAAATTATATATGTATATACATATAAACTCTGAGTGTATATACTAGGAGATATGCTCTTATCTAGTATATACACACTCTTTCCTACAGTTTTAATGGTAAACATTTATAAATTTTATTTTTATTATCATTATTATTAATGCTATTATTAAACCCGTTATTAAATCCAGGGTTCTTCCCGTGTGTTAGCGAGGTTATTCAATTTAACTAGATATAAGTTTAATAATATACTCAGTCCTCTGCCACTAATACGAGGCGAAGGCCGGGCAACTTTCCTGTCATGATTGGGTGGTGGTGTTGCCTGCAGCAGTGATTAGCCAGTTAGGTTATTCCCAGCTCTGTGGCTGGTCGGTCATATGATCCCTAGCTTTGTAACTGGTCGGTTATATGAGCCCCAACTCTGATTGGAATGTATATTTGCCCCATCCCTGATTGGAGTGTATATTAGCCCTATCTGTGATTGGAGTGTATGTTAGCCCCATCCCTGATTGAAGTGCATACTACCTATTGCTGTGATTGGACTGTATACCAATCAAAGCAGGAGCTTACTCTGGGTGTGCATACTAGTCTAAGATGTATGAGTGGAAGGGTGTGTGAATCTCACCTCCGTGGCCATCGGAACATGCCAATCCCAGCCCCCTCCCTTGTTTACATCCCATCACTGGCTAGTTCTATGAATATTATTTTGCGACAGATCAACCTTTAGAAAAACAGCACCATAACTAATTGGGCTGGAAATTCCGGTGTGTTTGCAATAGGATCCCAACTCTTGGATTAATCAGTGATATTATCTCTTCCGCTGGTGATTGTCCTGAAGTCCTGAAGAGTCAGGGAGGACGGACAATTAAGACTATGATCACTTGGCAGAGTTCAGTTCTGTCTGAGAATCATTCCAGAGGTGATTGTCCTAGAGCAAACTCATGAGTGACTTAAAACTTGATATTGAATTATTATTTATTATTATTTATTATTACTATATTATTATTATTATTATTATATTATTATTATTATTATTATTATTATATTATTATTATTATTATTATTATTATTATTATTATTATTATTATTATTATTATTATTATTATTATTATTATATTATATATTATTATTATATTATTATTATTATTATTATTATTATTATTATTATTATTATTATTATTATTATTATTATTATTATTATTATTATTATTATTATTATTATAATTATTACTATTATTGTTATTATTATTATTACTATTATATTATTATTATTATTATTATTATTATTATTATTATTATTATTATTATTATTATTATCATTATTATTATTATTATTATTATTATTATTATTATTATTATTATTACTATTATTGTTATTATTATTATTACTATTACTATTATTATTATTATTATTATTATTATTATTATTATATTATTATTATTATTTCATCATCATCATCATCATCATCATCATCATCATCATCATCATCATCATCATCATCATCATCATCATCATCATCATCAAAGAGAAGAGCTAAATCCATAGCTGTCTTACATTACTTAGGGAATGAGAGATAATGGATCTGATCTGAACGAAGGGAGGGTAGCAACAACTCCTGGGGTCAAGAATCCTCCTCCAGCATCAGCGCACGTCCAGTAAATTTGCTCGTGGTATCTCTTAACCTATCACTCACCGGCATTCCTTGCTTCTAGTCCAATTGGTGGACGAAACGTTTTCATAGAAAAAGTTACGTAGCATTCCATAAGGGTTTTATGCACATAAATCATAATATTGAAAAAGGTCTTATTAAATGACACTCTGCAGCGTACCAGAAGAATAATCAAATCCCTTCGTTATTTCAGTTACTTAACGTTAAAGGATTAAAGAAATCCCAGTAAATCCAGAAGCAATATTAGAATTTGGTGATCTAGTTATTATAATTCTTTTATTGAGAAATGTGCTTTGTATATACGTGAGTAAGCGGGCTGGAGGGGAGGACGAGGAGGAGGTCGAGGCTCTCCTGGGAATAAAACGTTGTCTTTATCCAGCTGGAAGGAAAGACTTCATGCTTCCTGGGCAAAACATTGTGTTAGGCACTTAATGTTTCCTATTTTTCCGGTCTCTGTGAGTTGGTAAATGAGCGTGCGTTTATCTGGAGAGTCATGCAGCCCAGTGCGTGACCAGTGGCCCTTGAATGGTTATTTGTATATGTATTAAGAGAGAGAGAGAGAGAGAGAGAGAGAGAGAGAGAGAGAGAGAGAGAGAGAGAGAAAGAGAAGAAAAAAAGGAGAGAGAAGAGATAACCAACCAAAGACCACTAGATAAAGTACTTCATAATGGGAAGATATTTTTCCAATGTCTGATACCCAATGTACCCTTAATGATTCTTTCAGTGGAAAACAGAGCTCCATTTTACGTAAACCGTAGAGAATAGTCTTCTATTTTACGTAAACAGTGGAAAATAGTCCTCATTTGTACATTAAACCAGTGAAATAGTACTCTTTTTACGTAAATCAGTGAGAAACTTGTATTCCTCTATTAAAGTACCTTATTCATCTTGATTACATTCTTTTAAATCCTTAAATATTATAATACTTTTACTATTTATTCTCTTATAATATTTTATCGTATTTTACAATCTTTATATCTTATTCTCCTCATTCCTTATTACATATCCTTATTACATATCTTATTACATATCTTATTACATATCCTTATTACATATCCTTATTACATCCCTTTCATTCTTTTACTAGCTTATTTAATCTGATTATTCCTCATTACCAGAGCCTATATACCTTACGTCTGTTTTTTTACTAGTTGAATATGGATATATTTCAAAGGCCCAACAATGACCTGTACGTTGAGACATTTATGAATATATTTTAATCAAATCTGATTAGATGAATCTGGTATCGACCTCCGCTCGTCCCAAACCAGTCCTACCACGAGCCGCCGGTAACATTTCCCAGCCTCCCGTGGGGGCATGTCTGTGTACCCCTCACAGGTTTCAGTGATCCATACTGCATGCTGGGCATCCAGCCAGCTGTGGTACCAGCTGGGGGTCACCCAGGCTCCCCTAGGGACGTGTACACCGTGGCTCAGGGCTCACCACCACCTGACTCACCCAGGACAAGGCAGGTCAGCGTAGTGAGTGTTGGTGTGGGGTAGGTGAGGGGGGAGGGTCAGGGACTGGAGGTGGAGCAGAGTGAGTGAGGAAAGTGAGAGAGGTGAAGGATGGCGAGATGATGCTGTGGTGAGTGTGAGAGACAGTGTGAGACTTGAGGAATGAGAGAGAGAGAGAGAGAGAGAGAGAGAGAGAATCAAAGTTTACCTCTCTAATAAGAAGGAAAGAAGAAAGAATATATATATATATATATAATATATATATATATATATAATATATATATATATATATATATATATATATATATATATATATATAATATATATATATATATATATATATATATATTATATATATATAATATGCTTCGTATCACACTTCAGTTTAACTAAATAAAATAATAATTAGTATTAACACAGGCTGACTATCTCTAAATTTAATCAGTCCTGAAATTAATCTCGCTAAACATAGTTTTAAAAAAATCTTTCATTATAGTTTAGGATCCCCTAGAAAATAATTGTCCCCGAAGGATTATGGGAATTTAAAAATTATTAACAGTTATGTGGGTTTACGTAATCATTCTACTCATGACTAAACCCTAAACCCAAGAAGTTTAAACCATAAAGGTTTACACTCTAAAGGTTTACACCCTAGAGGTTTAAGCCCTAGGGCTTTAAATCCTATAGTTTTAAATCCAAGAGGTTTAAATTCTAGAGGTTTAAATCCTAGATGTTTAAATCTTAGAAGTTTACACCCCAGAGGTTTACACCCAGAGGTTTACACCCCAGAGGTTTACACCCCAGAGGTTTACACCCAGAGGTTTACACCCCAGAGGTTTACACCCCAGAGGTTTACACCCCAGAGGTTTACACCCAGAGGTTTAACACCCAAGAGGTTTACACCCCAGAGGTTTACACCCCAAAGGTTTACACCCAGAGGTTTACACCCCAGAGGTTTACACCCTAGAGGTTTACACCCCAGAGGTTTACACCCCAGAGGTTTACACCCCAGAGGTTTACACCCAGAGGTTTACACCCCAGAGGTTTACACCCCAAAAGTTTACACCCTAGAGGTTTACACCCCAGAGGTTTACACCCCAGAAGTTTACACCCCAGAGGTTTACACCCCAGAGGTTTACACCCCAGAGGTTTACACCCCAGAGGTTTACACCCCAGAGGTTTACACCCTAAAGTTATAAACCCTGGCGTGAGGTAAGTTTACACCGCTGTTAACATGAGTTAACAGCGGTGTTAACATGAGTTAACAGCGGTGTTAACATGAGTTAACAGCGGTGTTAACATGAGTTAACAGTGGGTTAACATGAGTTAACAGCGGTGTTAACATGAGTTAACAGCGGTGTTAACATGAGTTAACAGCGGTGTTAACATGAGTTAACAGCGGTGTTAACATGAGTTAACAGCGGTGTTAACATGAGTTAACAGCGGTGTTAACATGAGTTAACAGCGGTGTTAACATGAGTTAACAGCGGTGTTAACATTGTAATTTACACAAGATTAAAGTGAGAAGCTAAGAACAAAATTAACGTTTATTATCCTGCGAATTATTCTGTTTACGTCTAATATAAACATTTTTATGGGAATGTAAATGTTTGTAGCCAGAAACATTGTTGATCAGACGGGGTGGGTCCGAAACGTTGTGGACCTGAGGCGGGGTGAGTCCGAAACGTTGTGGACCTGAGATAGGGTGGGTCAGAAACATTGTGGACCGAGATGGGATGAACTATAGACTACACTCTAGTGTGTGTGTGTGTGTGTGTGTGTGTGTGTGTGTGTGTGTGTGTGTTGTGTGTGTGTGTGTGTGTGTGTGTGTGTGTATGCCTGTCTTTCTGTGTATGTGTGTGCGTAGTGTCTACATTTGTGTGTTATTTCCCGTTTACTTGTTCCGTTAATAATACTTTTTTCTGTTTGTGTTCCGTTAGTGATGTTTTTCCTGTTACGTTTCCACTTTGCTGTACTAACAGTGTTTCTCACCACTGGGATACACAGGGTTCCAGAAGTTCAGTGGACACTGAGAGCGAAACTGAGTTGGAAAGGATCCAGCAGCTGTGAGAGCCCGAAACCCTTCAGTAAGGAGAACCTACGTAAACACCACAGGTAACCTACCTAGTACCTACCTACCCTTTGGTACCTACTTACCCTGGGTACTTACCTGTTCTAGGAACCTACCTACTCTAGGTATCTATCTACCACCTACCTACCCTAGGTACCTGCCTACCCTATGTACCTACCTGCCCTAGGTAACCACCTACCCTATGTAGTACCTACCTACCTAGGTACCTGACTACACTAGGTACCTACCTACCCTAGATACCTACCCCTATGTATCTCAGGTACCTACCTATCATAAGCTAACTTCCTAAGTTACCTACCTACCCCAGTTACCTCTGGTACCTACCCTAGGTACCTACCTACCCCTAAGTATTTTAAGTACCTACCTATATAAAGCTAATTTTTTAAGTTACCTACCTACCCTAGTTACCTCTGGTACCTATCCTAGGTACCTACCTACCCTTATGTATCTAAGTTACCTATCTATTTACCTATCGTAAATACCTACCTACTCCTGTGTATTTCAGGTACCTATCTATCTACCTTCCGTAGATACCTACCTTACCCAATGTATCTCGGTTACTACCTATCCTAGGTACCTCTGGTACCTTCAAACCTTAAACTACATTCCTAAGTTAGTTACCTACCTATCCTAAGCTATCTTCCCAAGTTACCTACCTAACCTAGGTATCTATCTAGGTTAGGTAGCTACCTATCTACCCTGTGTACCTGCCGACACCTGGTACTTACCTAACTCTATGTGCCTCAGGTAGCTACCTATCCTTAGCTACCTACTTCATGTACCTCAGGTATTTACCTACCTACCCCTAGATACCTAACTATCCTAGGTATCTACCAATCATATCTATCTATCCTGGCGGCACCAGACACTTACCTACTCCAAGGTACTTACGTACTCATATGTACCTCAGGTACCTACCTATCCTAAACTACCTACCTAAGATACCTACCTACCCCAGGTACCTCCATACTCATGTATCTATCTAAATTTCTATCTGCAAATATACCTGCCTCCATGCCTACCTATTTACTTCTTTCACTGTCTGATTCCCTTTCTACCTACCTAAGTACCTACCTCTCAGTTCATCAACCTATCTTCGTGTCTTCCTACTTCCTTGTCTATCTACTCTCCTCTTTATTTATCTGTCTACCTGTCTATTTTTCCAAGCCAACAGAATATAATAAATGAATTATCTATATTTCAGATCTTAAATTTTGAGTATGGAAGGTCAGGTGTTGTATGAGCCAGGTGTTGTATGAGTCAGGTGTTGTATGAGTCAGGTGTTGTATGAGTCAGGTGTTGTATGAGTCAGGTGTTGTATGAGTCAGGTTTTGTATAAGTTAGGTGTTGTATAAGTTAGGTGTTGTATAAGTCAGGTGTTGTATGAGTCAGGTGTTGTATGAGTCAGGTGTTGTATGAGTCAGGTGTTGTATGAGTCAGGTGTTGTATGAGTCAGGTGTTGTATGAGCCAGGTGTTGTATGAGTCAGGTGTTGTATGAGTCAGGTGTTGTATGAGTCAGGTGTTGTATGAGTCAGGTGTTGTATGAGTCAGGTGTTGTATGAGTCAGGTGTTGTATGAGTCAGGTGTTGTATGAGTCAGGTGTTGTATGAGTCAGGTGTTGTATGAGCCAGGTGTTGTATGAGTCAGGTGTTGTATGAGTCAGGTGTTGTATGAGTCAGGTGTTGTATGAGTCAGGTGTTGTATGAGTCAGGTGTTGTATGAGTCAGGTGTTGTATGAGCCAGGTGTTGTATGAGTCAGGTGTTGTATGAGTCAGGTGTTGTATAAGTTAGGTGTTGTATAAGTTAGGTGTTGTATAAGTTAGGTGTTGTATAAGTTAGGTGTTGTATAAGTTAGGTGTTGTATAAGTTAGATGTTGTATAAGTTAGGTGTTGTATAAGTTAGGTGTTGTATAAGTTAGGTGTTGTATATGTTAGGTGTTGTATAAGTTAGGTGTTGTATGAGTCAGGTGTTGTATAAGTTAGGTGTTGTATAAGATAGGTGTTGTATGAGCCAGGTGTTGTATGAGTCAGGTGTTGTATAAGTTAGGTGTTGTATGAGTCAGGTGTTGTATAAGTTAGGTGTTGTATAAGTTAGGTGTTGTACCAGTCAGGTTCTGTACCAGTCAGGTTCTGTACAAGTCATGTTCTGTACCAGTCAGGTTCTGTACCAGTCAGGATCTGTACCAGTCAGGTTCTGTACCAGTCAGGATCTGTACCAGTCAGGTTCTGTACCAGTCAGGATCTGTACCAGTCAGGTTCTGTACCAGTCAGGATCTGTACAGTTATTTAGGTGCACGTAAAGAACACACAATCGGGTCATTTATCATGACTTTCCAGAATTACTGTCAATGCCACCTCCCCCTGACCTTCCCCTCACCTCCCCCTGACCTTCCCCTCACCTTAATTCATTTCAGTAATGAATCAGGGGATGCCCTTAAATTTACGTCCTATTTAATATCTGTTTTCTCCCTTTTCCAGCTAACATCAACTCTTATGCTTCGCTGTTACTGTTCTTTTTCTTTTGCGTTCCCTACCGCTTGAGGCAGTTCCTCGGGATTCTTGACAGTTTTTCAATTTTCTGAAAAATTATTACATACAGCTGCATCAGGTGAACAAGTATGAGAGACAGTGTGAGCTTCTCAGTCAAGTGTGAGAATCAGACAGTTATTTATCTTAGTTTGATATGCAAGTATCAGGCCGTGAGCGTAGTGGTTCGTGTGTGTGTGTTTATTTCGTACATAATACTTTTGAAGCTGTGGGAAGGACAAAGAAGACCGCAGACGGAGTACAGCCTCTGTGGTCAAAGGCTGCAAAATCACTGCATGAGTTCTGGTCATTGGAGGTGGGCATAAATACAGTGTGTGTACTCACCTATTTGTACTCACCTATTTGTGGTTGCAGGGGTCGAGTCCTAGCTCCTGGCCCCGCCTCTTCACCGGTTGCTACTAGACCCTCTCTCTCCCCGCTCCATGAGCTTTATCAAACCTCGTCTTAAAACTGTGTATGGTTCCTGCCTCCACTACGTCATTTTCTAGGCTATTCCACTGCCTTACAACTCTATGACTGAAGAAATACTTCCTACTATCTCTCTGACTCATTTGTGTCTTCAACTTCCAATTGTGGCCTCTTGTTTCTGTGTCCCCTCCCTGGAACATCCTGTCCTTGTCCACCTTGTCTATTCCACGCAGTATTTTATATGTCGTTATCATGTCTCCCCTGACCCTCCTGTCCTCCAGTGTCGTCAGGCCGATTTCCCTTAATCTTTCTTCATAGACATTCCCCTTAGCTCTGGAACTAACCTTGTTGCAAACCTTTGTACTTTCTCTAGTTTCTTGACGTGCTTTATCAAGTGCGGGTTCCAAACAGGTGCTGCATACTCCAGTATGGGCCTGACATACACGGTGTACAGTGTCTTGAATGATTCCTTACTAAGGTGTCGGAATGCTGTTCTCAGGTTTGCCAGGCGCCCATATGCTGCAGCAGTTATCTGATTGATGTGTGCTTCCGGAGACATGCTCGGTGTTATACTCACCCTGTGTGTGTGTGTGTGTGTGTGTGTGTGTGTGTGTGTGTGTGTGTGGTGTGTGTGTGTGTGTGTGTGTGTGTGTGTGTGTGTATACTCACCTAATTGTGGTTGCAGGGGTCAAGACTCAGCTCCTGGCCCCGCCTCTCCACTGATCGCTACTAGGTCCTCTCCATCTCTGCTTCCTGAGCTTTGTCATACCTCTTCTTAAAACTATGTATAGTTCCTGCCTCCACTACTTCACTTGCTAGGCTATTCCCCTTCCTGGCGACTCTGTGACTGAAGAAATACTTCCTAACGTCCCTGTGACTCGCCTGAGTCTTCAGCTTCCAGTTTTGACCCCTTGTCCCTGTGTCCCCTCTCTGGTGTGTGTGTGTGTGTGTGTGTACTCACCTATTTGTACTCACCTATTTGTGGTTGCAGGGGTCGAGTCCTAGCTCCTGGCCCCGCCTCTTCACCGGTTGCTACTAGGCCCTCTCTCTCCCCGCTCCATGAGCTTTATCAAACCTCGTCTTAAAACTGTGTGTGGTTCCTGCCTCCACTACGTCATTTTCTATGCTATTCCACTGCCTTACAACCCTATGACTGAAGAAATACTTCCTACTATCTCTCTTGTCCACCTTGTCTATTCCACGCAGTATTTTATATGTTGTTATCATGTCTCCCCTGACCCTCCTGTCCTCCAGTGTCGTCAGGCCGATTTCCCTTAATCTTTCTTCATAGGACATTCCCCTTAGCTCTGGAACTAACCTTGTCGCAAACCTTTGTACTTTCTCTAGTTTCTTGACGTGCTTTATCAAGTGCGGGTTCCAAACAGGTGCTGCATACTCCAGTATGGGCCTGACATACACGGTGTACAGTGTCTTGAATGATTCCTTACTAAGGTATCGGAATGCTGTTCTCAGGTTTGCCAGGTGCCCACATGCTGCAGCAGTTATCTGATTGATGTGTGCTTCCGGAGACATGCTCGGTGTTATACTCACCCCAAGATCTTTCTCCTTGAGTGAGGTTTGCAGTCTTTGGCCACCTAGCCTATACTCTGTCTGTGGTCTTCTGTGCCCTTCCCCTATCTTCATGACTTTGCATTTGGCAGGATGTGTGTGTGTGTGTGTGTGTGTGTGTGTGTGTGTGTGTGTGTGTGTGTGTGTGTGTGTGTGTGTGTGTGTGTGTGTGTGTGTGTGTGTGTGTGTGTATGTGTGTGTGTGTGTGTGTGTGTATTGTGTGTGTGTGTATGTGTACTCACCTAGTGTAGGTGAGTACACATACACACACACACACATACACACACATGTGTGTATGTGTGTGTGTGTATGTGTGTGTGTGTGCACAATGTTCATTACTTACATCAACTCATCCAAAATCGCACATCAACACGACGTCAAAATAAGAGTTCCTTTATCATCAATATTTTATTCGTAATAATTTTTTTTCACCTTTTTTTTCAATCCTCGATGTTAAATTTGTTCTTTTATTCTAACATTGCCTCAATTTTCTGAATT